AAGGGAACCACATGCTGACTATGGGGATGCTTCTGAGCTCACTGCCTGGTCAGGAAGAATCTTGCAGCGGTTGCAGACAGAGGAGCAAACTAATTGTTGAGATGAATGCCCATGAGGCTTCTCCTGGTTGGACGTGGTTGAACTGGGCCCTGAAGCACAGTGAGTCCAGGGCTAGGTTTCATTCTGACGCGCAGTAGATGTTCGAGGGCAGCGATGCTCAAACTTCCGCTGTGTACTTGAATCACCGGGGGTTCTTGTTACAATGCAGATTCTGACTGAGAAGTTTGGGCTGGGGCCCAAGAGTCTGAATTTCCAACAAGCTCCTGAGAGATGCTGTTGCTGCAATGCTCACATGGGTGACACCAGGAACTTTAATCCACTACGTCTTCAGAAATGTGTGAAGGTGGAGGTGGAGTTTATTGTTAATAGTTCTGGTATGGACCTGGGAACCTTAGAAAGTGAAACCTATAATCTTCAAAAGTAGTGGAATTAGTGGGCCCTGCATGTCTCTGAAATCTTCCTCTGGTCCGTTAACAACGTCCTCACCTACGAGGTTTATGATGACGCTCCCCTGTGGCAGCCCCAGGGGGAGCAATGCCCCTCCGTGCACAGGTCATAGTGGTTCACCATCCCTGGTCCTCTGTGAACCCCTGTGACACAGACACTGGGTTTTAGTGTCCTCTGCTGTCCCCTGCTGTGTGGTTCAGAGCTCAGTAAGTATTTGTTGCCTGAATAAATGAATCTGATTTCCCTTCTCTGGAGGGTAATGAATACCAGCTCAGTACTAGGTGTTGAGTGGCATAGTCCCTGCAGACATGTCTTAAAAATGAGATAGAGGAGCCACTGGGGTGGAGACATCATTTGACTTCCATTTTATGAAAGTTCCTCTGGTTGTTATGTTGAGAACAGAGGGCAGGAAGACAAGGGTGAAACAGGCATGGTGGCTGGTGGCTTGGGCTAGAATGTGAACAGTGGAGGTGATGGAAATGGCTGGATTCTTGATGTATTTTGCAGGCAGAGTCAGCAAGATTTGCTGACAGACTGGATGCGAGGCGTGAGAGAAAGAGTGGAATTAAGGATGACTTTTGGCCTGAGCAACTAGAAGCACTGAGCGGCAGCAGTGATGATAGAGTGTCATCAATTGAACTGGGGAAAGATAATGGTGAAGGAGGCACGGGCGGGTGAGGCTCAGGAACTCAGTTTTGGACATGTTAGCTTTGAGGAGCTCTACTCGAGACATCCAAGTGAAGATGTCAAGTAGGCAGCTGGTCACATGCATGGGGTTTGGCAGTTTCAAGCTGGAGATACGCCTTTTGGAGGCACCAGCACATAAGAGGCATTTAAGGCTCAGGACTGGATGAGATCGCCGAGAGAGTAAGTTTAGGCAAAAGAAGAGGACAAAGGATTGAGCTCCTGGACACTCCAAAGTTAACAGGTTAGGTGGAGAAGGAGGAACTAGCAAAGGAGATGAGGGAAGGAGGAAAACCAGGAGATGGCAGCAGCCTAGAAGCTGGTGGAAGGAAGTTTAACAAGGAAGAGGGAATAATCAACTGTGTCAACACTGCAAGGTCAACTATGAGAATGCAAACCAACCACTGAATTTAGCATGACGGAAGCCATTGGAAACCTTGGAAAGGGTGGTGGTAGAATGATGGGTGAAATCCTCTTTGGAGCAGTATAAAGAGAAACAAATGAGAGGAATTCACAACAGTAAGTATAGGTTACTCTTTTAAGATAGCTTCCCGCAAAAGACAGCAGAGAAGCAAGGGGTGATATCTGGCAGAGGGGGTGGGTCAAAGGAAGTCTTCGTTCTTGTTTTAAGATGGGCAGGATCCAGTAGAGAGAGAACTGGTGGTACAGAAAAGAGGGACTCAGCTTGGCCAAGCACTCACTAGGTTCAATTAATTTAAAAAAAATGAAAAGGCATTGTACAAAAGATTGTGATCTTATGGGTGGGGACGGGGCAGTTTCCCTGAAGAGCAACATTAGGCAACGAAAGAGGTGTCCTTTATAGCCCTGACTGGGTCGCTCAGTTGATAGAGTGTCATCCCAATACATCAAGATTGTAGGTTTGATCCTTGGTCAGGACACATACAAGAATCAGCCAATGAATTCATAAACATTGGGTTGACCAAAAAGTCTGTTATGTTTTTTCCATTTGATGGCTCTAGTAGTGCTTAGTTGTCTTTAACTTAATTCAAAACAATTTTGTTAGATTGTATTGTGACAGCTGTCATATCAGTGTGCATTTAAAAAAACATCAAAGTTGGTGAATTTTTGTGTAGCCATTTTAATATTTAAAATATACATTTTCAGTGTATTATGCTTTATTATTTCAAGAAAGGTAAAAACACAACTGAAATGCAAGAAAGGGTTTGTGCAATATATGGAGAAGGTTCTGTGACTGATCGAACGTGTCAAAGGTAGTTTGCAAAGTTTCTTGGTACTATTGTTATTTTGGCCAAATAACTCTTTGCTGTGGGGTTGTCTTATGCATTGGAAGATGTTTAACAGCATCCCTGGCCTCTACCCACTAGAAGCCAGTAAGGGGAGACAGCCAACATGCTCAGGTATCCAAATCAATAAAGTTATTGGTGAAAATGAAAAATGTTTATTTTATGGAAAAAAACATAATGGACTTTTTGTCAACCCAGTAATTTCTCTCCCTCTCTCTCCCTTCCTTTCTCTCTAAAAATCAATGTTAAAAAAAAAATCTTTACATTAAAAAATACCCTAAGAGCACCATTTCTGGGCTCCTTACCATGGGCTCCCACGCTTCCTGTAGCCCTCAGTGTACCGAGGAGGTGCACCCCTGGGCCCACTCACGGGCAGGGCAGCTGAACGTTAAGGCGGGGAACTTGCTCCAAGGCACAGAAAGGTGGCAGAGCTCGGGTCCAGCGCTGCCGAAGGTCAGAGGCCACATCTCCGCCCACTGCTGCACTCTCCTTGCAGGAAGGAGACGCTTCGCATGGCCCCCAGCAGTGTCCTTACTTCAGGTTTGTCTGTAAGAGATGGATGTCCTGAGCCTGACACCGTCACCTCACCATGTTCTCCGCAAAACTTCAGGAGTATTTGAATAAGAGGAAATAAGACAGAGAGGTGCTCCTCCTCTTTTCTTTATTAATGAACTGAGATACACAAAGACTTAATAAAAAGTTACATAAAAGGCTCAAGCATCACCGAGATCTCCAGGCATCACTTTCATTTCATGACAACGGCCACCTATCAATCCTGTGTAACAGATGCCGGGCGCTCACAGGCGCCCCGTTATTCAAGTATCTTTCCTTCTAAGTAAAGCCGACATGGAATTTCTAATCCAATGGGCCGCTGATGGAGGAAGCCTGTCTATGGCTCTGGGTTTCCTGTAACACGTGAAGGGCCTCTGAGTTAGAGCTGCCACGATGTGTTAGTGGGTCACATCTGGCAAAGTGAGACGGGCCACACTGGGCCACCAGGTACTCTCCACAGCAAGTGCCACAGGAAGGTGGGGGACGAAGTCCTAAGAAAAACCATCTAAGTTTCCCCTGTGTGGCAAAGTGCAGAGGAAGTCAGTGGCCATACCCCCAGGCCGTGGGGTGGGGAGGGTGCTAGGATTACCTGCTGGGGAGAAAAGGAGCCCTTGAAGGGGGAGGGTATCAGAATTTTAGAAGGAAATCTGAGAACACAGTGCAAAGGCATGAGGTGAGGGGATTTCAGGAAGGGTGTGCTCCAGGGGATGTACCAGTCAGGCAGTTAGGAAACACAGTGGGAGCACTGGGATGTCATAAAAGACACAAGTCCCGCTGGGCTCCTCAGTCATGGAGTAGCATGGCCAGCTGGTTCCCAGGCTGACCCCGCCAGGTGACCATGGAAAAAACGTACCAGGACAGCCCAGGGCACATTTCTGAAAGCCTTCACTGCCACAAGGGCCCATGATTCTCTAAAACACAAAAACCTGTCTTTCAAAAGTGTTATTCACCCATCTCACCTCTGAGGAAAATGAGGTCACAGGAGATGAAGGCGGACCGTTGGTTCAACAGCAGAGGCTGCAGAGGGCACCCGCGTCACCACTTTCTCTTTCTAGGGCGCTGCAGAGTTCAGCTGTGGGCCGAGAGCAGGATGATGCCCTGGAAGATGGGGCCACGGGAGGGGCAGGCGCACTGCCCCTGTTGGGCGGGGGTGGGGGACTAGAAATAGTTGGAACCCCTTTTGCCTGGTTACCTTCATGGTGAAGGGCTTCATTCTACATCAGCTGATCTGCTTCCAAGACTCTCCATGTAGTGCTCAGGGAGTTGTGGACGCCACAGTGCGCGGGGGCACGCTGGTGGCAGCCCGTGCCCCGCAGATGTCTTCCGGCAGCGGGCCCTGCCCACCGTGCAGGGCTTCCTGCCCCACTCCACCACGGCCTGGATGCAAAGCACCGCCACCCTGACTCGCCCTCCTGCCTCGCTGCTTCCTCACCTCCAGTCTGCAGCTGCCATCAAACTGCACACGGGCTGCTGGCTCAGAGGAGCATAAGGGTTGGAAAGAGCCTTGTCTTGTTCATGTTTAAAATGCCCCTTAGTCAACATTATAGGATCTTGGGGAGCTGTGAGGTGCTTGATATGGAATGTTCTTTGTTATCCTTTCTTTTAGGGTGAGAAAAAAGGGTCATTTACACAGATAAAGAGTTTGATTTCCAGCCAAAGTCTCAACGATTTCGTTCTGCAGCAGGATCGCTCTTGGGCTGGCCCCTTGGTGCTGGCGGTCTGGCCAAGTTCGGAACTCAGCACACTTTCAAAACCGGAGAAGGATCCAGGTGTCTCGACATCCAGCTGGGCACTCACTTTCTCTGGGATCCCTTCTCCAAACAGTGGCCAGGCCACCTGCTGGGGCTGTCCTGGGGTACCTAGTGACCTGATACGTGACGCTTAGGAAATCAGGTTTACTAGCTGGGCCACCTCACCTTCTGACCTCCTCTCAGCTGCCCCTCCACCCCCACCCGGCCCCCAAATCCCGTCTTTGGCTCTCACCAGCAGCACCTGAGGGGGAGGTGGACATCATCAGGGAGTTGGGTAACTGCCCCCTCGTAGAAACATGTATGAGAGCGATAGCATCATCTCAACCTTCCTTTCTACTCTGCTCATGTATTACAGTTAAGATCCGAGGGGTTAAGCAAAGTAGGTGCCCCAAAGGCAGCCTCGTGCTAAGTGTGCAAAGGCTTAAAGGGGGCTGTTACATACTGGGTTTAAGAAGTGGTCGTCAGTTGATTCAGAGGGAAAATGGTTTCAGGTCTTGGTGCTGTTTCAGAAATAACAGTATTGGATCACTTTTGGGTAAGATTCAGCACGCACCAGAATTTCCTGGCTGGCGTCCACGTTGGCTTACTTTGATGCGGAGCAGCACACAGGCCTGTGTCAGTGGGTCCGTGTCGGAGAGGCCCCGGCAGCGCGGGCGGGGTGAGGAAGCCCTGTCCCCGCCGGGGAGAACAGAAGTGAACCCACGCTGACTGAAAAAGGAGGAACATATGGGCAGATCTGCTTACTTTAGTTTATACTTTTCCAGGATAACAAAGCTCCGCTTTAGAACGGACAAGCTCGTGCCAGCCTCTCCCCTCAGCACAATAAAATTGTCTCCTAGCATCTGCGGTAAAGCCCTGCGGGTAAACACATCTCTCATCTCTCCAGTTTATAGGCCATGAGCAGGGTCTGTTTCTCCTGGGGCCTCCAGCTTCAGTCCCATTAACTTCCAGTCTCTCAGTCACTGCACTTTCATACTGAGTTGAGTTTGGCACTGCTGGGAAAACTCAGTTAAAAACAAACAAACAAAAAACCGCCACACTATTCCAGACATGTTATCAGAGAGATCTGCTAAAGACTTGAAACTTTACCAGGCAGTGGACACAGACCCCCTTGATACAATAATACTCATTAAAATAATTTAAAAATCTACAAAAGATACCCAATGTCAGACACCGTGGACTGAAGACAAGGGGGGAGTTGGGTCATGGCTTGTTTTGCACTCTGTATGTGGTAGATTAAGACTTCCACTTCAAACTAGCACATCGCAGTTCAAAGAAACAACGCAGCCACCAAGGGGTGGGGAGGAACCGGGCTCAATCAGCACGAGAGGCTGGGGTGCTGCTCTGGTGCAGCGGTGCTTCCCCGTGTCTTCCTTGTGCCCTTTCGGTGAAGCCGAACCCAATCTCCTCCCTGCCCACCCCCCCCTTCTTCCTTCCTGTGCCAAGTCCTCGGTTCAAGGGTCATGGTTAGAAATGGTTTTCAGTGAGGTTAGGCAGTAGAGGGGTCCCAAGGGCTGGCCAGTTTGTGGTCACTGTGCCCAGGGCCTCAGGCCTATCACAATATCACACACTGGAGTTTGTGGGTGCCAGTGGCCCGGTCCCCTCGCCATTTGGTCTTCTTCTTCTTCTTCTGGCTTTTCTCAGGAATCTGTTGCCTTTTGAGACAGGGGAGGACAGAAAATCAAAGTCAGAACAGGCCTGGCTTCTCCCTGTCCCTCTCCTCCCTTGCCCCTGGGTCTGTGGCGGTGTTGGGGGCACACTGAGGGCAGGGTGGAGGGAGATGCCTCACCGGGGTGACCTGCAGGACCCAGGGTGGGAGGCAGAGAGGAGACTGAGCTGCTGCCACAGGCAGAAGGCACTTCCCTTTAGCTAGCGATCGGCTTCCCTCACAGATAGCTGGGCGGGCAAAGGTAGGTGGGAAGAAGGGAGGGGTGAAGAAATAAATGGAGGTACAAGAAATCTAAAAATAGGCCCAGAGATGCCCAGCCTCAGCCTTGGATCGAGGAGCTTTGTCCCTCCAGCCTGCCTGGTGCCCATCTTGCTGCAGACAGAGGTCCCGTTTCCAGAGAGGCAGGTAGTGCTCACCTAATTACTCTAACCAGGTCATGGAAGGCTTTGTCCACGTTGAGCGGTGGGTCCTTGGCACTGGTTTCTATGTACGAAATCTAGAAGTCAAAACTCATTTTTGATAAAAGTGGCACTGAGATCCAAAAAGACTTGTTCCCTGAAAATGCAAAGTCTCAGACATCCTGAGGAACCGTGTGCCTTTAAAGGCGCCACAGAAGCCTGGCTCCAACAATCTCAAGTCCCTTGGTGGCTTCTCACCAAGGCTGGAAAGTTTTACTGACAGTTTTTTCAAGTCCCTCTTGTTCTCTAGTCACACAGATATTTAATAGCTCCCTAAAAATAGAATTAAAATGATCTTTTTATATATTTGAAGACTAAAGATTTTTCATTTTTCAAACTAAAATGTGTTCTGACTCCTCTCATCTCTTCTTTCTGAGGTCTGTATCTCCACCTTGGGAGGACTTCCGCCCTCTTCCCAGACCTCCAGAGGGGACTCTGGCAGGAGTGGCCGAGGCAAGGCTCCGCCATCGCCAGGGCGCTGACCCCTGGTGACCCCTGGCCAGTCTGTGCCTCCCACCCTGACAAGGCTGCCCGGCCCAGCTTGCATTTGGTCTGCAGCCGTGAGCTCCGAGCTCAGCCGTGAGCTCCGAGCTCAGCCGTGTTCACAGAAGGCCTGTGTCTGCATGTGTGATGCATGGTAACCAGCACCGGCTGCAAGGCAGCCAGGCACTGGGAGAAGTGGCCGAGGTGACCCTGCAGGACAGGTCACGAGGGCCATGTCCACACCAAGCCTGGCATGGGGATGAGAACAAAGGCCCCATGAGGTCAGGACACAGTCCTGAGCGCTCGTCCCCTCCTATGACAGGGACCCCACAAAGCCAGGAAGGGCTCGCCCCCATTGCCCCACGAGTGACGGTGTGTGGGGATCACACAGCCCACGCAGGCCGCCTCACGGTTGGGGGGGGCGGGTAAGCCAGCTGTGATGGGCCTGAAGAACTTTGCTATTTTTCCTGATTTTTTTCCTCATTACAAAATTAAGGCATTTCATTACAACACATTTGAAAAAGAAAAGCACAGCACATAGAATAATGATCAGCACGTGAAACACATGGTGGGGGCAGTAAGTTGTTATTCCAGAGGAATATTTGCAAACACGTCATAAAAGACCCTTCCATCAGTTATCACGGGGAGAGATCACATGTTCACTCATTGCTGCCCGCCGTAGCAGGAGGGGGCCTTGTAGCTGACCAGACACAAAGGTCAGAGCACAAAGGGCAGGGCTCAGGCCTTGGAAACACTCACTTGACAGATATTGAGCCTCTGATAGCCCTGAAAGTGTCCCCCGCCCCGCCCCCGGCTAATAGACCTAAGGATGTTCACTGAGATGATTGTGGGCTGTTTGTCCCCCAGGTAGGTCTCAACAGCCCCGACCTCCCTTAATCCTTACCTCAACCCTCTGAGGTAAGCAAGGATCTCCATTTTGCAGCTGGGAAAACTGAGCTTAAAGTGGTGATGTACTTGCCCAAGGCCATACTGTGGAGATTCAAGGTTTGAATGAAGTTCATGTTCCACTTCCCATCTGGCCTCTCCTGGGCAGGTGGGGATACTGAGGTCACCTGTAGAGCTTCTTCCAGGTGTGGCCAGTGCCCCAGTACACCTGGTACGACAGTCCTTTGTGACGTCATGAGGTCAGGACAATGCGCTTCCCTGTGCGCACCCAGAGGGGGACAGGGAAGGCACGGTAGCTGGGGCCGGGGCCTACATGGAGCCCTTTCATGTCCTATAATTCTGCCGGCTCCTAAGTCCCAGGTTCCAGAGCCTCAGACCACTGCTGCCTGTCTCACGGCATCACGCAGAAGTACATGGGTTGTAGTATCTCAAGCCCCCAGACACCCTCCACTGTCTTTCTGGGGGTCCTGCCTCTACCACTGAAGACATGCTGCTGTGTATTATCCGGGTTCTTAGAATTCTAGGATTTGGGTAGCAATGAGACTTAAACCAAGGGAAGCCCGGCAGTGAACAGCAGTACCCTTTGACTCCACTAAAGGGCTAGGGAATGCCACCTTCCTGCACTGGGCGGGGCCACCTGCCTGGGTCAGCTGAAGAGAAACTGGTTTTATGAGCTCTAAAATTAGGATGTTTTCAATAGCAGCTTGCAGAGTATTTGGTCAAATGATAAATGAGGCAGCAGCATTAGCTTTAGAAGAAGTATCAGCTGAGAGACCGGAGACCTGGATTCGGGGGCGGGGGGTACTACTCACCAGCCTGAGGCCCCTGGAAGCCACCTAACCTCCTGTGTCTTGTCCACTCTGATTTGCAGCATGGGGCTGGTGGGGTCTCCTTGCAGCGCCCTCCCCGCTCCCCAGACACCCTCCCAGGGCTGCCGGGAGGAACACAGGAGGTCTTAGCAAACCCTCTCCAGGTCACTGTATGAAGCTCAAGACTGAGTGGAAAATGGCTCCTTAGGCCCCTCTCTGTCCAGGATGTTGGGCCAGTGGAGGGGGCCTGCATCTAACGCTAAATCAGTGGTCAGTTCCCAGGCCTCATCTAGAGACTTCTGAGCCGCACCATTCCTGGCCGGTCGTCCCTCCTCTTGAGGCATTTCCTCTGCCTGGCCCCGGGGACACGGCATTCTGGTCCTCGCACAGCACTGAGTGCTCAGTCTCTGCTGCTGCTTCCTCCTCAGCTCCCCACTATGTCCCAGCACTGTGTCCCAGCCTCATTCCAGGCTTCCCCAGTATGTGCTGCCACTCCCGTGGGGCTCGTGGGTTTAAATTCTATCTCCACGCTGCTGACGTCCCAGATTTACCTGCAGACTGGTATATCTGGCTGCTGTCTCAGCTACTCACACTAAAGAGCTCTACAACCGAGCTCCTGGCCTCCCCACCCACTAGCTCCCCGCGTCCCCCCTGCCCCGTTACTGTAACTCCAGTTTTCTGAAAGTGACTCATGTCCAAACCTTGGAGTCATCCTCGATTCCTTTCCTCCTCTCTCACCCCACATCCCACCTGTGAACAAATTCAGTTGGCTCTTAGAAATACATCCAACACGCAATGACTTCTTGCCACCTTCGTGAGCGCCACGCGAGCCCACGTCAGCCTGCCCCCCCCTCCCCGTTACTGCAGCCCCTAACGGGTCTCCCTGCTGCCACCCACGTCCCCACGGACCATTCTCAATGCGGCCACCAGAGCGAAGCTGTTCGGCCATGAGTCAGGCGGCATCACTCCCCGCTCAGATCCCTCCAAAGGCTTCCCCCTCACTCGGAGTTAAAGCCCAGAAGGCCTTACACCACCTCCCTGGCTGCATGCCTGTTACTTGCCCCTCCTATTCCTGCTCCAGGTCCACAGGCCTCCTTGCTGTTCCTCAAACTCCTGCCTCAGGGCCTCTGCCCTGAGTATTCCCTCTGCTGGACCATTCTTTCCTGATACCCACAGGGCTTATTCCCTTGCCCCCTCCCAGTCCTCGCTGGCACACACGCTTCCCGCGAGGCCTTCCCTGACGCCCTGTGAGGAGAGGCGCCCCGCCACCCCACAGTCCCAACCCCTTCCCTGATTCACTCTTTTCCCACAGCACGTGCCACCCCACACACTCTAACTTGCTTTGTTTATTGTCTGTTCCTGTCACTAGAAGAAAAGGAGTTGTGTTTCCCAGGGCCGAGGGGTGTCGAATGAGTATGTGAGTGAATAGAGAAGGCAGAGACAAGCAGAACGACCTCGCAGTGAGCCCCCTCCCTCTACTCACAGGGCTGGGCCCACTGGGCAGAGGACAGGGGCCGCCTGGCAGCCTCCCTGGCAGGCACGGTGGGCTTCTACATTAGCGACCAGTGAGGCCAGGGGCACGGCTGTGCCGCTGTGGGGAGAGGCGGGGAAGTCCAGTGACCCCACCCAGCACCATCCAGACGGCAAAGGGACATCACACTGAACTACAAATGGGACCAACATGTCTGTTGACGTTGCATGGCCTGGGCAAACCTCACTCTGAGTACTTGTAAGGTGGAAATAATTGAATCTACCTCCATGTGTGATTGTGAGGAGTGCCCACCCACCTTCCCACACCCCCAACTGCATGACACCTGGCACAGAGCAGGGCTCAGTGAACAGCAGCCGATTCAAGGATTCTGAGCATCCTCAGGCAGCTGGCTCAGAGACAGGACAGAGCCAGTCCTCCGCACGGTCCAGACAGCAATCTGCTGCCTCAGGCACCAGTCAGGGGCTTGCACGCCACAGTTTGCAACCGGATGTGAAGGTACCTGTTCCATACACCAGAGCCTCTAATGACTGACAAGGGGGTGCTTTCTCTCTGGTCTTGTTTTGTTTCACAAAATATCCCACATCACATGTGCCCGCTAAGCCTTTCTGAGGAACCTGGCCTACCACGTACGAGGCTCGAGTTCCGTTCACACAGACAGACTGCAGGAGTGATGGGGTGTTGACTTTTATACAGCCCCTAGCACCCCCCAATACACACACACACCCCCACACACGCGTGGGCGCACGCAGAACTTACATTGTGTTTGGTCGCCATTTCTTTTCCTTGCTCCCTGGTGATTTTCCTCAAATGCATCAAATCGACCTTGTTGGCCACAAGGATCATCGGGAATGACTCCCTGGGAAACAAAGGAACAGCGCCTCCTGAGTTTTTGCTGTCCCCACCCCTAGCGAGGGCGGTGCAGCCACACCTCAGGCATAACACAGCACACAGCAGCGGCCACCCCAGTGGCCCGGGGCTGACTGGAATCCTTTCTTCCGATCTCCAGGAAGAAAGGGGCCTGATGGCTGCAGCCTGTCTTGGTTTTAAGGCTTAGGCCTTTTGCAAGGTAAGTGAGGGGCCGCCCCCCCCAAACAGGGGAACCCCGGGCTCAGAACTGTCAGTGAGGGCACCGAGGGGCTGCTGGGCCAGGGCCCAGGCGCCCAGACCTGCTCCCTTCCGTCTCTCGACCACCCTGATGCACCACCCGAGCAGGACTGCTGTGCCATCAGTCATGACTCAGGAAGGGCGCTGGGGCCAAGGTGTGTTACACGTGGCACCCAACGCGTGGCAGCTGCAAAATCAGGACGACGAAGGGCAGCGTCAAGGGGCATGTGCGCCTTGAAGATTCCCATGGACATATGTGGCCAAACTGCTGCCCAAAAGTGGACAAAATGCCGGTCTGGCAGCAGCTCTGTCAGCACTATTTTTATTAAGAAAATTATAACTGGACAAGTAAAAATGGTAACTTTATTATTTTTCCTTGCACTTCTTTAATTAGCTAGAAGCTTGGATATTTATGTACATCTGAGTCATTTATATTTTCTCTTTGGAAATTCCTACAGTCAGGGGTTCAACCCACATTTCTCTTTTAGAGTTTTGTGTGGGTGTGAGTTTGTGTGTGTGTGTGAGAATGTGTGTGTGTGTGTGTGTGCGCGCGTGCGCGCGCACATGTATGAAAGAGAGAGAACTGTGTATCCCTTTACCTTGTGAAGTTATTAACATTTTGCCCTTGAAGTAGGTATTAACTGAATTTTTGGAATTTACTGAGATTTGCTCGAAGTTTGCCCTTTTTACTTTCTTTACATTGTCTCTTTAAGAGACAATTAACTGATAAAACCAGTCAGGCTTAAAACAGATTCCAAATATTTAACTACTACATACAATGCTAAGAAAAAAAATGAGCCTTTAATTGGGCCTCACATTCAAATGTGATTTAACCAATTACAATGTATACTGAAGAAAAAACCCTAACCGTTCCTTTGTAATAAAAAATTGGTTGAATTGGAGCTGAAAAACAGAAATGTTACTTATGACCCCTTAATTCATTGGTGGGGACCATTTAGGAGGGATGGGAGGGGCTGCCCCCTCGAAGCCTTGGAAGCAGTTTGTACAGGAAGCAGTCCTGTAGAAAGAACTAAGGTAGGAGTCGGAGCTACCAGGCTCTGAATTCAGCTCTGCCCCCGTACGCCTCCGCTTTCAGATGAAAGTCTGACCGAGAGACAGACATTCAGAGCCTGCTCTGAGCCAGGAGCCAGAGAGCCTGGCCCGGCCGTGCTCACCTGTCCTTGACGCGCAGGATGAGCTGGTGGAAGCGGTCCACGTGCTCGAAGCTGGCCTTGTCGGTGACGGAGTAGACGATGAGGAAGCCGTCCCCTGTGCGCATGTACTGCTCCCGCATGGCACTGAACTCCTCCTGCCCAGCTGTGTCCAGGACTGGGGTGGGAGGGGGCCCGTCAGGGCTGTCACCAGCCACCCTGGAGCCCCTGTGGCCTGCAGACCCCTACACTGCTGCTGTCCCCTCAGCGGCTCAGTACAAACTGTCCCCGTTAACTCCACACACGTTCGCTGGGCTGTGCTCTGAGGGTCCTAATGGGGCCGCAGCCACCTCAGTGTGAGGCTCTAATTGACTTATTTGTGGCCCCACTGATCCCAACCCATGGTGCTCCCAGGCCTCAGTTCTCTGTCTACAGAAAAGCCTCCTACAATCTGTGATCAACTCTGCTTCAAAGTCCCTCTGGCCAGTCCCCAGCCCTGGGCTTGGATCCCTGCTGCGGCCCTTCCACAGGGATTCTTGGGGAAGTGCCCTGACTGTGAGCCTCCTTTCCTCCTCTGTAAATGCAAACAGTGCCTCTGCCTGGCAGCCCCAAGAGAGGACAGCTTGTTTGTGGGTGCGCCCCGGGCAAGGCCATCTGGGTTAGAAGGCTCCTCCGCCCCTGAGTGGACCAATACCGGGATGACCGAGGAGAAGGAGTGGCCCTGCAGAACCAGGGTCACTTGCCTCCTGGGACGAGGGTGTCACAGGGACGGTGGGAAGGGGAGCCAGGGCTGGAAGCGGGGTGGGAAGCTGGGAGAACCACCTCCGCAAAGGGTCGCCCCCTCATCTATCTCCTCTCCCTGCCCCACCCATGTGCTCCTAGCCCTGCTCTCTTTCTGGGGTGAAACGCTTACCCCCCTGTAACCACGGCCACAACTGGTTACGGCTGTTTAGAAATGACAGTTTAGAAATAAAATCTATGATGATCCATAAGTGAGGATGGGGGCTGAGAAAAAGTAAATTACTACTAAAGTTCTTGCCTCATTTGGGATTACATCCAAATGCTGATAGAAAAATGTAAGTACACACACACACACTTGTGTGTATATATATATATATATGTGTGTGTGTGTGTGTGTATCTATACATGTGTATGTGTGCAAATATAAAATAACCACTAGAATAGAAATAAAACTCAGAACTTCCTAATAATTAGAAAGAAAAACAGAACAAAGTAAATGGGACCAATCCAACAAAAGGCAATAAACTAAACAAACATATGAAAGTTAAAACAGTAGACATGAAATAAGATGGCAGAAATAAATCTAACTATAAGTAATGACTATAAATGCAAATGGGTTGAGTTCACCTGCGAATATAAGATATCTTGTATCTAAGTTCTGGGTTTTATTTTTTTTTGTTTTGTTTTTGCTCCTTTTTTTTTAGGTTCCACATGTAAGTGAGATCATATGGTATTTGTCTTTCTCTATCTGATTTATTTCACTCAGAATAATGCCCTCAAGATCCAACCATGTAGTGCAAATGACAAGATTTCATTCTTTTTAATGGCTGAACAGTATTCTATTGTGTGTACCTATGGAATAAACACTTAGGTTGTTTCCTAACCTAACCTATTCGTAAATAATGGTGCAGTGAACATGGCATATATCTTTTTGAATTAGTGTTTTCCTTTTCTTCAGCTACCTACTCACAGGTGGAATATCTGGATATGGTATTTCTATTTTTAATTTCTTGATGAACCTCCGTACTGTTTTCCATAGTGGCTGTACCAATTTACATTCCCACCAACGGTGCACAAAGTTTCTCCCTTTCTCCACATCCTTGCCAACATTTTTTATTTCTTGTTATTTCTTTACGAAAAGAGCCACTCTAACAGATAGGAGATGATATCTTATTGTGGTTTAATTTTAATTCCCTGATAATTAGTGATGTTGAGCACCTTTTTATGTACCTGCTGGCCTTCTGTATGTCTTCTTTGGGAAAATGTTCAGATTCCCTGCCCATTTTATAATTGGACTCTTTTCTTTTTCTTTTTTCTTTTTTCTTTCTTTCTTTCTTTTTGCTATTGAGTTGTATGAGTCCTTTATACATTTGCAAACACTTTCTTTCATTCAGTAGGTTACTGTTTCATTTTGTTGTTGGTTTCCATTGCTGTGCAGAAGCTTTTTAGTTTGACTAGTCCCATGTGTTTATTTTGGCTTTTATTGCCTTTGCTTTTGGTGTCAAATCCAAAATCATCTCCAAGACTGAAATCAGGAGCCCACAGATACACAGAACAAATTGGTGGTTGACAGAGGCAGGGATAAGAGGCAGGGGAAGAGGTGTGGGCAAAATGGATAAAGGTGGTTTAAAGATACTAATTTCTAGTTATAAAATAAATAAACCATGGATATAACTTACAGCATGGTGACTATTGTAAAAAAATACTATATTGTACCTTCAAAAGTTGCTAAGGGAATAGATCTTATAAGCTCTCATCACAACAAAAAAATTTTTCTTAGTACGTATAATGGCAGATACCAGCTAGATTTATTGTAGCAATCATTTTGTAATATAGACAAATATTGACTTATTACATTATATACCTGAAACTAATATAATGTTATATGTCACTTATACCTCAAAAAAGCAGATAATACAAAATCTATTTGTCTACTACTACAAAAAATACATATAAAGCAAAATGACACAGAGAGATAAAAAAATGAAAGAATATGCCAGCCACATGCATCCACAAACAGAATACAGAGCCAAAGCAATAAATGGGACAAACCATGGTATTTATAATAGGAAAATCATGAAGTGCCAAAATCACAAATCTAAGCATCTAAGAATGTTAACTAAAATATATATGTGTGTGTGGAGATAGATATATATATCTATCTGATTCTTAAAAACAGGAACTGACAAATTCCATAATCATTGTGGGAGAATTGAACAGGCTTCCCTTTGAGATAGACGGACAATTGGACAAGACACAGAGAGAACTTTACACTCAAACAGGAAATAAGCATTTTTAAATACACATGAAATCATCACAAAAATTGGCCATATGTTAAGCTATAAATAAAAATGTCGACAAATTCCAGAAAGCAAAAATCATATAAGCCATCTTTTGCCTATAATACAATAAGATCAGAAATTAACAGAAACATGAGTATTAAAGAACATTTTAAAAGCCATACCTCTAGAACTCTCGTTAAAAGGAAAAGCAAATTAGAAAACAGTAACAAAACCTCTGGTGTGAGGCCACAGTGACACTCAGAGGAAAAATACAGCTTTAAATGCACTTTTGAAAACAAAAAAGACTAAAAATTAAGTAAGTATTTAAATCAAGAGGCTAGAAAAGGAAAAATAAATACAACCAAAGAAATAAGAAATCATCACTAAAAGTAAAAATTAAGAAAATGGAAGAAAGGAAAAAGTATTGATAACTACAAATAAAAAGCTGATTCTTTGAAAGGACCAATAAAAAAAAAACAAAAAACCTCTACCAATTCTTATCAAAGAAAAAAAGAAAAGACAAATAAACTTTGGGAATGAGAAAAGGCCAATGATTATTAGTATAGATATATATCTAATTATGAGAGAGAACTATATGCAGTTTTATAGCAATACATTTTGATTCTTGATGAAATAAATCATTTAAGAAGATATAAATAAGCAAAATTGGTTCAAAAATATATAAAAGTTCAATAAGGCCAGTAATCATTGATGAAGATGATTAAATAAAATCTACCCCATGAATGGTATAACGCTATTCTTGTAATCTACAAATTGTTCCAGAGCAGGGGAAACACAGAAACCTTCTCGCTCATTGTAAGAGCCCAGCATAACCCTAACAAGCGGGACAGAGGCCGCCTGAGGGTCTGTGGGGACTGCCAGGCCGCCCCACTTTCGGGAATAGCAGCGGCCTGCATGTGGGACCCAAGAGGTATATCAGTTATCCATTTACCAATTATATATATTTTTTTAAAAGACTTTATTTTTTATTTTTATTTTATACATGCTTATTTAAGGGTTTGAAATTTTAACATCACCTCTTTAAGTGTACATGCCAGTATCAACGTTCATCCTGTAGCTATCTGTCCTGGCGAAGCTCTTTTTTAAATATCAAATGCATTGAGATAGAATTTATATGTAAATCTCTAAAAGTTCCAATACTACAATGGTTTTTAATTGACAATGTTGTGCAGCCTTCACCATGATTGGTTTTAGAACACATTTCTTGCCCTGGCTGGTGTGGCTCTGTGGATTGAGTGTCGGCCTGTGAATCAAAGGGTTGCCGGTTTGACTCCCAGTCAGGGCAAATGCCTGGGTTGCAGGCCAGGTCCCCAGTAGGGGGCACACGAGAGGCAACCACACATTGTTTTTCTCCCTACCTTCCCCTCTCTCTGAAAATAAATAAATAAAATCTTTAAAAGGAACACATGTATCACCCCAGAAAGAAACCCTGTATCCATTATCAGCACACATTCTCCACTTTCTCCTAACATCATCTTTCCTCCCCAGCTCCCCAAAACTTAAGCAACTACTCATATACTTTCTTTCCTCTAGAATTGCCTGCTCTGGACATTTCATATAAATGAAATCATGCAATATGTGGTCTTCTGTGACTGGCTTCTTTTACTTAGCCTGATGTTTTCAAGGTTCATTCATGTTGCATGCATCATCAGTACTTTATTCCTTTTTATTACTAAGTATCATTCCAGTGCATGGATATAGGACATTTATTTTACTGATTCATCAGTTGAGTTTGAGTTGTTTCCACTGTTTCCCTAATATGGGTCATGCTGTTCCTTGAATATTTGTGTACAAGTTTTTGTACGAGCATTCATTTCTTTTTGGATATATGCCTGGGAGTTGATTTGCTGGTCATATGGTAACTATATTTAATCTTCTGAGGAGCTGACAAAGTATTTTCCAAAGTGGCAGCATTGTTTTACAATTTATAAGAGTTCCAATTTCTCCGCTTCCTCATTAGCACTTGTTATCTGTTTTTAATTACAATCATCCTAGTGGGTGTGAACTGGTATCTCATGGTGGTTTTGATTTGCATTTCCCTGATGGCTAATGATGTTGAACATCTTTTCATGTGCATGTTGGCCACTTGTACATATTTTCTGGAGAAATATTTATTCATATCCTTTGTCCATTT